CACTATTAAATTGATCACTGTGTATAACGTTCCCGTTCGTCCTTTTATGGTGGTACTGATGTTAAAAGTTAAAAAGGGGATCGGTTTTGTTAAATGGTCAAAATTCTATCCAAGTAGTTGTAGCATTTCACTCAAGTTAATTTGATTTGTGTGTAAAATATCTTTTACTCTTGCATCGTTAGATACGTATATATTTGCTATTGTTATTTTAACATCAGCATTTTTAAAAGTTGATATTATATAACAACTATTTTCATTTGCTGATATTTCAGTTGGTATTATTTGTAAACTTTTCCGAAATAAAATAGCCACACCTTTGGATGCTAACGTACTATTTGCCCAATATAATTTGCTATCCCATTCATCTTTCCATTTAAACAATAAACTGCTATCTCCACAGTGAGTGTCCTGGCATACGTTCTTAATAAAGTATTCCAACCAAACTAATCAGGTCGATTTACCCCATACAATGACGGGTTTATTGATTTGTTGACTCTGTGGCATTGGTTTACAATACACTTAGAAACTGACATGTGGCATTGTATCAGCCATTGGCTGGTTAAGTAAATCACAAAAGGCCAGCAGTTCTATCAAATGAGGCGTGATAGATTGATGTTCGTCCCATTTACAATCAGACAATTCTATTTGATTCTTTTATCTTTTTGTCCCTTTTTGGTATTGTGTCTTATATTCATCGATTTTCTCTTAATTTCGTTTTGGTTAAAGCCGTATTGAGACTGTACCTGTTAACTACCGTTCTTGATACACAAAAAAATGTATATAAATACAAGTGTAGAATAATTCATATGGAAACCAGCTTCCATTTTGCATATACAATTACAAGCTCACCAAGACAGCATTTGATTAGGGGGATCTGTTATTCTTGGAGCCTTTTGGTAAATTCAAGTTTTCATCTTCAGAAATAAATAAACCTGCTTACCACTACAAACCAAAGATAAACACGTTAGTGTCCACAAAACCATAATTCGATCTCAATAGCAATACAACTAAAGCTAAATATGAACTNTTACTGTGTTGGAGTTGTTTGTTTAAGAATAATGGTCTTGATATAAACATATATTCACAAGGAAAAGTTGCAAACAGTTACAAGGAGAACACGACCTAGTGTTCTGGAAATGTAAGCGTCTTATACAGGTAAAATATCTACGTCCGTTTTACGTCCGTGGATAAATACATCCGTAAAACGTACGTAAAACGTTTGTATTACGTATAGATACGGAGACAATTGTAATACGTCCGTTTGTAAACATCCGTAAAACAGGTGTATGTGAACTGGTGTAAAACGTTCCATTCGTAAAACGGACGTTTTTGAATCAGCCGATATACATTCGTTTTACATTTATAATATATATCTATAGACTGCAAAGCAAGAGCACCTTAATCTACAATAATCTTACACAAGAACGTAGCAAATGTATTCAATTATATTTATAAAAGAAAAAATACATTACTTGTGATTATTATCGAAACAGTATGTAATGAATGGTTTCACATCCCAATAAAATTCCATGACGATCTCAACTTTGAGGCGCAGTAATACAAACCAATCCTTTTCAAAATCCATAAACTCCGATATCTATGGATTTGTTATAACTTTCCTACCTTTCTTCTATCAAAGTTAATCTCAATAAAATTATTATAAAGAGGCTCGCAGGTATAAAGATCTATAAAAATCTTTATATAAGAATTTCCTCAAAATTTGTGATTTTTACTTTAAAGTAAGGGGATCAATATTAGGAAATAAAATTAGGGGGTCACAGTTCATGTAAGCGCATAATAGTCCACCAAAAAACAGGGTTTTGTCTGTTTTACAGAGGAATATAAGGGGAAAATGGGTGTCTGCATTTTTAAACTGAATTAAAAGATAAAGTTTATATAAGAATTTGCTTAAATGTTTCGTACATCAACTTGAGTTGAAGCTTAATATGATAAGCTAAAAACATATATGTATGTTACCGATGAGTTTGAAAATTTGCATATGAAGGTGTGACATATCCCCTCCATATCTGCACTATATCGAAGTAGGGCATTGTCACACATTTTTTTTTTAATTAAACCTAAATTCCATGCCTACAAAAATTCATAATCAATTCATGTTTTAAGTATAAGCAATTAAATTACAAGCTATACATACCAAAAAAGATTTAAATCAGACAATATTTGCTCATCATGTTATTGCATTAACAAGAATCAATTCTTAAAATACACTGTTTTAAACAAACCAAACATTATTCAAATAAGACAATGTTTGCTAAAGTTATCACGTAACCAGAATTAATTTTCAAAATACAGTTTTAAAAAAAATGAGATTTTCACAAAAAGTGAATAAATCCATCAAGATATTGTTGATAAGCAGGAAAATACCAAAAGTGATTCTTGTCAGATAATAAGAGAACTTCAAACCTTGAAAATAATTAGGGTTCTAGACCTTTGCATATATACTAAGTTACTTACTGTATACCAAGATTAATTGGGATGGTCAGTCTAGAGTGCATGTCCAAAGAATTGTTACTGACGGACACACAGACGAACGGTTGTGTTACAATTTTTGTTGGCGATGAGATAATAACAATGATACAGGAAAATAACTGGTAAATGTATTTTTAAGACATAGGACGCCTCTCCCTCTCCCATGACGGCTTACAAAGGAAGACTTAAATTCAAAATATATCAAAGCAAGTCAAAAAAGACCTCTTTTTTACAAGATTTCCTATGGACAAATTATGGTTACACACTATATTCCCAGTTGATAAAAAAGATGTCACACCATTCATGACAACAAAACTTAATGTTATTAATAAAATACATCTATTACTTAACTTCAAACAGGAAAATAGCTATAAAACAAATTCCTTATAGAAAAAACAATAAAATACACAGTAAACATTATAAAACGTTCTCAAGAAAAGGACACATATTTCCGAGTGTGGCTAATATTTTGATTTCTGTCACGGGTTCACAATATTTGGTATTACTGAAGATACTGTTAGATATTCTGTTTAATACATTTTATCAACAAAAACCTATCCGTAATTCGAAGCGACACATCAAGCTAACAATACTTGATTTGGATAGTTTTACCGATAGTTTTACCGCTAGCATGTAATCCTACTTGACAAAATATAGTCCTAAGTACAAAAAGTATAAACCATTTTAAAATTCTTTGAATTAATGATTTTATTGGAATAGGTACTTAAGTTTATATTCTTCAAAATCTAAGCTAAAATATATTGTCAAAATTAAATTATTTAAAAAAAGTCCCGTCAAAACAACGCAGATCGCTAACCGTTGAGCGGCAATTCCAAAATGGTGTGGAGTGAAGGAAAGTTGACTTGTTGTCCGGATCCTGACACGGAGTTAGCTAATTCCGTGATCCTGATGATGAAATATTACCACAACTTATGTAACAGTCAGTTATGCTTTATCACTGTTACTTTCAGAGATGCCCCTCATTATGTGATACTTTGTCCCATGGTCTAACACTTGGAGACGCGGACGCTGACATGTTTTTATTTGGATCGTGTTTCCTCCGATCAGATAGTTGAAGACTATTACTAGTTTGCTGGCTTGCATTGAAAAATATTGATGTTAAATATTCCTTGTTATTTGACCAGGATGGTACTGTATTCAATGTATAATTTGTACCATTGTTTCTGTTTTAATAAAAAAAAAGTTATATCGTTTTCATACTTACAAAATTAAACAAATAATAATGTTGCCACACATACATTTAGAAAATTTGAAAATAATTAGACAGAAAACATTTACAAATCTGCATATCACAAGTTCAAAAGTACATCATATGTTTTAATGTAATGTTAGTGCAGGCAAGTTCGCCATTCACCCAAATTCGCCACCCTCTGTCTAAAATGTGACTAAAATGCCACATAACGGCGTAATACATGAGATGTGACGTAAGTAAAGTATTTTTAAGAAGAAGAGGTATAAGAAGGGAAAAGTTATATTATTAATCAAAACTGTTGTAAAATATCTTATCCTGTTAATTTTTATTTAATGTAAATGCACTAACGTTACATACCCATATCTGAACGCTACATTGCAGTTTTAGTAAATTGTTTTTCTTTGGTACTACAAACAATGTTCTGACGATCCAATGCTTGTTTATGGAAAAGACGATCGGAACGATTTGATAATTCATTTTGGGAACTATTATAGTACCTATATATGCATTTTGCTAAGGCTGCACTAAAGGCGGGTGCACTATATAGAAATCACTCTGTTTGTCCGTCTGTCCATACTTTCGTTGTTGTATGGTAAGACTTCATGGATTTTCATAAAATCTTTACGCACACTTTGGGTTATAACTTAAATATTGCTTTGTGAAAAGCTGCAAGAACAATTTAGGTTCAGGGCTTTAAAGTGGGACAATTAAACATACATATATCTTATCTTTGATTTATTTGAAAGGAGCAATAACTTGAAAACTGGATTAGTTACGTCTGATTTAAGTTCAAAAGTGGCGTGACTGTCACTTACTTCTTAAGGCAGAAAATTATGAGCATGTCTAAATATGGTCAAACCGCCTAATAGGCATCCAAAGAAAACACCATGCTACCCTATAGTAACCAAAATGCATATGGCGCACGTATTCATCTGTTTCATGGGTATAAAACCGAGAATCAGGGCACAAAAGTCATCAAAAAAAATAACCTTCATGTCGTACAAGAAAAACAAATATCCCAAACAACAAATATTTCGATTATAAAATGTGCCAGTTATATTCATCAACCTGGATCTCTGGAAACGGAGTGTTGTAGTATTGTCTGTCAAAAGTCAACTGTGACAGGTCTTCCGTGTTAGTTGGGGCTGTTACCTTAAGACATACGATTTCACGTCCAGGGGGAAATATCAGATTAAAATTTAAGGGAATATAACGAAGAGAAAGAGCAAATAATACAGGTAGCCGTTTCTAAAATTGATGGTTTAATAAACCTAATTGATTATTTTCAGTGCTTTGTTCGAGGCGCGCGAGTGAGCGTGTCCTCACATCATTGAAGGAGGTTGATCCATATCGTTGTTTATATATAAATTGTCCTTCACAGAGCGAATTCTCTGTTTTTCCTCGCCTCTATTGAAATCGGAGAGGTTTCTCACCGTAAGCCACAGTCAGGTTTTACACCTAACCGGTGTAATTTGTGTTAGGTGACACATTAAACACATTGTAAGTAAACAACTTTACTCAGGTGTAAGACTTTATACAAATGCGCAAACAAACCTCAAATATCATGACAAAAAACAGCCGCAACATTACCAACAACAGGTCATAACAAATTCACCAAGTAGTTATGTACGTTGACAATTACCTATAAGTCCACTGTAGTAGGCAGTATGTGATGTCAAAAAGAAAGCGTTCGCATTTATATTTTCACAAAATACCAAACCCCGTCCAGGTTGACCGTTACTTGTGACCCATCCATAGTCGCCTTTAGTAATCTGCATCGAGCGGAAGTGACGTCAAACAGGAAGCTGTCACATTCCGGTTGTCTGAAACACTTTAAGCCACACAGTCCTTGGTTCGATGCGTCTGCGTCAAGGAGAACAGGAAGTACGTCACTAGTGGATCCAAGCTTGGCTTCCCACCGATGGCAAGTACCTGTTCAGTTACGTCTCATATTAGGTATCAATTAAGTAAATTATTTATGTCAATTGTAACATTAAAATCAACACGAATATCATTTTCTCTTTTATCTTAACCGTTTGTTTGGCATCCCAATACTGTATACATAGAATCAATGGTTTCAGTATCATACAGCACAATGGCGTACTTAATTACACTAACACACATACAGTGTATAAAAGTGGAGCATTAGCTTATATTAATTTCGATATGGGTTCAACTTTTCAAACGTTGATAGTTTACATAAAACTTATTTTACTGCCATAAATAGCAACGCCTCACAACTTCTTGAGGCTTTTTATATGCATTCTTTGTATTTTCATCACTTCAGTTCTTATTATATTGAAATGATATCCCAAAATACAAATATAGGTCAAATTTAATAATCCATTCTCATCTACAAATAGAAACCAATTTGACCCATTCTCTTAATTTACACATCAAAGTTTATTGTCAACATGCAATGATATCTCTTTCACATTTTGGAATATATTTTGGCAAAACAGGAAAAATGCTAGCTAATCAAAACCTCAACCAACTTTGCTGTGTTCGTGAATGCGACTTATATTCAAATAAAATACCTTTCTGGCAAGTTTAGAAAAAAACAGAAAACAATTGTAATTGTAATCGACACCCGCTGCTGATCCTCCACGGTGCACTATTGAAACAGGTGACTCCTCGGTCACATGTTCACATGACCTCTGCGTCATGTGACCAATAGCGTGCCGTATTCAAGTTCTGAAGTGCAATCACTTCAGAAGTGATCAAGTCGCAGCGTAGTCGGACAAAAGCTTTTCGGTAAGCTAAGTTATAGTTGTGAGAAATAGATCAACCCATTTCATCACAATTGTAATCTGTTTTGACAAATTACATTGCAAAATCACCAAAAAAAGCAATATATATCTGTACAAACCACATATTTAACGAACTTTAACTATTTCCAAAATCGATATATCGCATTTGATCTGCGTATGCCAGATGTTAATTCTGTATCTTTGTATAAGTATTTACTAAACTAAAAAAGATGTAAGATTTTTTATGAACGGAAACTTGAAAAAGAATCGAAACATTAGTTATTATATACTGTAAACTCTGAAGACAGAATACATACTGTTTATTTCCGTGTACGGACAGCCCTGTACCTCCAACTTCATCGATCCACGGGTACGTGTGGAGACGGATATAATCCGGATGAACTTGGCGATGACGTTCCCTTCTAACTCATTGGTCATGACTGTATCCTTGTCGAAGTTCCCGGGAAATACCTTAATTAAAAATGGTAGGATAAATAATCACATATTATTAATAACGTAAGTCCAAGGTAACGCTTTATTCTACCGCGTTCTAAATGTTACGAAGCTTTCCATTACTATAATTTGCTAGCAGGCCAGCCAAGAAAGTTACTATTTAACTTGTATATCTACTTAAAACCTGTCAAACACACGGTTATAGTATTCCGCTGTACCTAATTAGGGTGACTTGGTAAAGTGTTTGTTAATCTGCCGAATGTTGATATCATATGTTAGTGGTTGATGTCGATAGATCAGGGACTGCAATTGATTAAACAAACACCTGGTTTATTGTTGATTGTCTGTGGACAAAATTACGACAAAAAATGTTCCATCCTTCCGTATTTTTTTCCCCAACATTTTCTCACCATCTTTATATATACCATCATAATAAACACGCATATATGTTGTTTATAATTCAATTAATGATGAAAGGGGCTATTACATTGAAACAAACGTCACTCATACTCAGCGCTATGATAGCCAGGCCAAGGGTGTTTACCTCTGCATCAAGTGTGTATGTGTTCCTTAGCCGGTATCTTGGTATGTTTGCCTCCTCAGACAGAGCGTAGGCACCAAGAATAATCGTATGCCCGATCAATATTATACTGATAAGTGTTAACCAGTTGTTGAGATTACATTAATGCTGTACAATAAGCAGGCCAACTCCTGGCAGACAAAACAACGTTTTACTGAATAAGATGAAGTTTGATTTCTAGAGTTCAGCATCCTATTAACATATACGGTCAATTAAGAACATGCTTCCGTATTTACAACGTTTGCATGTGTGCTGGATCCAATATTTTAGTGTATTTCCCTTTTTGCGATAACGCGGATCTGATGCCCTAATCACAGTGCCCACCGCAATGAAATCAAATGTCGAAGGCACCCAGTTCAGTATATCATCTGGTTGCGATTTACTGACAACGGGTTAACTTGTCCTTACCGCTACCCATTTAAAGCTGAATAAGTGAACATTTTAAAGTCTTTTGGTTTGCCCGTCAGCGAAAAAGATCAATAGTCTCCCTTGCTTGAGCGAACGCTCAAAGCCAAAACTGAGGTATTGTCAATTGAAGCGCTAACAAAGTTGTATGAATGGAGAAAAACTATAACGATCCGAAATGTTGTAACTTCTTCTTCTAGTTGGTTCGCAAAAAATGCTTGGACCGTCGGAAAGCTGAATTTGGTTTCATTTATCCACGTGAAACGTGATCTCCCATTCTTCCGAATACACGCATTTTCGATAATACAAGTTTTTTTGCAGTTAAACTGCCATTTTTGCATATAAAGGAGGCTGTCGTCAGACACGTGGGACAACCTCCATCTCGTTGCCAGGGAAATTTTCCAATCAAGGTAATTTTCCCGAAATTGAACACGTGATTTTATATTTGATATAGAATCAGCAAAGTCAACGGAAAAGTTTGCATGATAAGCCTTAAGCTATGAGAGTAACTCCTGGAATAACTGACAAAAAATCCTCTAGATTTTGAGAAGAAAATCCTGTTGTTTCTCAGGGTACGTTAGCGTAGGAGGAGGAGACTCATTAAATACTTCCTGCAGAATCATTTTCTTTTCGTACCATTTTGGTTTGGCGGTGTCTCCCCTGACAACCTTTTTCAGGCAAACTAAACTTTTTACGAAGCACTGGGGATCAAGCGTTTGAATGACTCTGCTCGGGATTTGTTAAATAGCATTATCAAATTACAACAGAAAGATTGCATATCTTCGCATTCTAAAATATCGTTCTATCTATCATAGCCATCACTGGTTGTCAATGTTCTATACCGTCACTAGTCTCTTTAATTATTCAATGTCTATTATATCTTCTCAAGGGAGGTATTTCAATACAAGATCATATTATTCCATAAAAAATATCCTTATCATATAAGTACCAGATTATTCAACCATCTTTAAATTTGCGTAGCTGCGCAAGACTTTTAAAGAACATTGTTACCTTTACGTCGCTTGAAGCGTTGTATAAGGACGTCCATGTGTGTCCGTCCATACTGATATTGACACTGTACAACGTTACCCACTGATTATAGCTTCCCCGTCCCTTAGTCTGTATTGCCTTCAGTAATGAGACATATCGGAACTCAATCTGTGTTTTGGAAAAGAAGACAACATATTATTAATATACAACATACTATACAACATTTGATATAGCGCCCTATCTAGCTAACATAAGGCAATCTAAAGCGCTTAACAGTACTTAGATGTACAATTAATATATACAATTTTTGAGAAATTCGCAGGAGCTGCCTTATCGGGTGCAAACTACTAGTCCTGTGCCACCTGGCTAATATCTCCCTATGTGTGTATGACTGCATGTGTGCTGGATATGTATTGTGTGCTGTTTGTAGTGGGACCGTGCTTCCAACGACATCTTTTATAGTGCCACCTCACTTGAATGCTACATCACAGATACCGCAACATCAACATTGTATACTCCGCTCGGGTTGTTGGAGTTGTTTGGGTAGGAGAAAAACACTTTCTCTGATATTCCATACGTGCGACGACTTTGGGGATCGAACCCCGGCAGCCTGCGTGGAAGGCCGAAGTGTTAACCACTCGACCAATCCGCCCATTGTAGGATAGTAGAATACACTGTTTACAATAAACGATGTTTCACACAACCAAAATGGCCGTAGTATTGTAGTGGGAGTTGATTTTGCCGCAGTTTCCATGAAATGCTAGTTTCAAACTATATTATTAGTTTTAACCAAATGTCGCTCTTTTTATGCTAGAGGGGCGTTAACAGATATTTTCCCTGATTTCTGCACTGCTTTATATGTTTTTTGAACACTTTTGACTCGGACTTTTTCATTTCACCTTTTTAACCGCTGATGAGACATTAATACATGACAAAAAAACCAATCATATGATGTTTTGTCAATATTTCCATTGCATGGCTTTCTGAATCCACCTATTGGTGTTAAACGAGTGAGTATATTATGTAAACAGAGTCCAGTATTACCTGTTAATAGTGCCTAGTATTACCTGTAAATAGTGCCTTGAATTACCTGCAAATGACGTCCAGTATTACCTGTAAATTGTGTCCAGTATAACCTCTAAATAGTGTCCAGTATTACCTGTAAATAGTGTCCAGTATTACCTGTAAATAGCGTCCAGTGTTACCTGTAAATAACGTCCAGTATAATCTGTAAATAGTGGCCAGTGTTATCTGTAAATAACGTCCAGTATTACCTGTAAATAACGTCCAGTATAACCTGAAAATAGTGTCAAGTATAACCTGTAAATAGTTTCCTGTATAACCTGTAAATAGTGTCCAGTGTTATCTGTAAATAACGTCCAATCTTACCTGTAAATAGTGTCCACCACCAGTATTAAGAGGACACCAACTACCGGAACTGCTGAATCTGGCTTTTACTAAAGGGCAGTGACTGTGAGTAGATGACGCTGTGATTGCCTCGTCGGACACACCGAAGGGTCCGGTCACCAGGTCGTATTCACAAGGACCACATCCTGCTGAAAGGTTTTATGTTATCAAATAAAACCATACCATTCAGGGTTTTTGTTAATATTATATGTTAAATTAACAAAATATATCATAAACAGTGTTCTAATGAATACAAAGCTAATGGAATAAACTAGGAATCGAAACCCTTAACTTCAAATTGTTGGCCACTTATTAGTTATGACGTCACGTAACATTGCTTTGCGACGTCATCCTCGATCGGAAGTTTTCAATGGAAACATGGCCTTCCAGATATAGACCCCAAACTTGTGATGGTAGGTTCTCATGTTTGTATAACTCTCGTTAGTTAATTTTTCAAACCTCGTGTCTTTATTCAATATGAAAATTAACTAACTCGGGTTAGATAAACATGATAACCAACTATCACTCGTAGGGGAACCTCTATATTACCAATACTTCATAACTTAATATGATTGCTTAACATTTCTCAGAGAAAATTGGGGATATATTTGGTCAATCACATGGCGGACCATTGAAGACCTGTCAGTGTTCTTGTTTCGTTTTGAATATAATTTTTGTGGGACATGACCACCTTGAACTACAAGCGTCTATGTAACTCACTTGGTAAGATATATACCGTTAGGGGTATACTCATAGTCTGACTTAGTTACATCTTTTCGCTCCAGTTATACGACGTCTAACATAGTTTATTATAATTTTATCTCATTAGAGAAAATTCCACAAGTTACATGTTCCTTTCAGATCTTATTTATTATTTAGTAAAGTTGTGACTGGAAAAAAATGATTGTTCATTGAAGTTCTTGGCCGTAGTCCCGCATTAATTAATAAACAATTAAAAATGAATAAGATTGGTTATTTGGAACGTGAATACAATATCAAATATAAACAAAAAATATAATTTAGAAATTCGTGTATTTGGGTCAACTAGTCTATAAACTGAGATCTACAGACACATCAGTATTGGCGAATTTACAGCCGTTAACTTGCCCCGCAATACAATTAAAGGTGAGTTTACATCATGAGCATTGACTCCCCAAACCAAAACTAATCCACTACCAAACTTCAGCCCCCTTAATAACGCATACTTCGCAAACGCGCAAGTGAATGGTCCTATCTAAACGTCAGGACGTCAGGTCAGATGTTAACGTCCAGATCTCGGCCGGTCGGGAACGCTCCTGGTCTCCCTCAAACTTCTGACAAGACGCTCTATGGTGATAAATTAATGCCAAAGGCCTAGTAACCTGTTGTTTTTCTCTTCGCGGCAGTATGCATATGTGTATATACTTTTCCTAGGTTTATGAACATATACTTTTTGTGTATGCCGTCATCGCTTTGTTAGTTGTTCTTTTACGTCACTTCTTACTTAAACACTGAATAATGCGTGTAGTTTATACTAGATATATCGCACTAGATACAACAAACTAGTATTTGGTATACAATAAAATTCATTGGATTTTTTATTTTATTTTTTTGTATTGATCGATGTTTTATTGCAGTCTCAATTCTAGATAAATGAATAACATCTACTCAATTAAACATGGATATAAACAAAATCACGAAACCTCCGAACGCTTTGTAATGCTATCTTTAGATATCACATTCAATACTGAAGTTGTAATATTCTCACTATTTACGAAATTGCTATAAGTTTGCTCCATTTACTTTTATAGTTTACTATAATAACGTTACATTGTATTAGCTTTGTTGGAAGGGCTGCGTGGGCGTCTCCTCATCTCCTGGCATCGACGGAGGTTGATACATATCATTGCTTTATTTATTTTTTCTTTGCAAAGCAGCTCTCCTATTTTTCTTTCTTACTTTGTTAAAATCGAGAACACTGCTTCTCCTTTTTACAGTTTGTCAGAAATTGTCCTGAGCCAACAAAATGCGTTCTTTTCAAATTCCGTACATACTTTTACATTTAAATCGCTACGGTAAACTAATTTGACTATCATAAAACGCCCCGTTGACTTTAAAGCTTATAATGATGGTTTTATACAACCAAATTATGTAAAAACAAAAACACAAAACCATATTTCAAAAAGATTTTAAATTTTCTGACGAGTCATCGAGGGAGAATGATGTCTAGACGCGGTGCGCAACCTCAGCTGCGAGTCTACGGCAGCCATCTTTCTACTAGCTGTAAGTGACAGAAAACCAGACGTGACTTGAAATGATGAAAACAATTATATATGGCATTTGGCTGTTCGACTGCAAGACGGGACCACATGGATCTACGTTGTTTTAGAAACCGTAAGCTGATAATATTTTGCTGGTTGATCGTTTTTGGTTGTTTGATCAATTTCTAGTGTAGCTTCAAAAAAAAATGTAATTTTTCATCAAGTTGTATCTTCTTTGTTTAAACATGTCAATTTAGTTATCCCCCTTCGCAAAATCCTACGCCCAGGCAATGCTAACCCGGTCAAATTCATCGGCAAATGAACAGGTTACATTTGGTAGTTGCAGTGATTCCAACTTGAGTAGTAATTGAAATATTTGTATGTATGACACTATATGCGTTCATCGCTCCACTAGGAATCGAATCTGATATATTTGGTTTACTAGCCTGACGCTCTACCGAATGCGCCTGCCATTGTTTTCGCTCTAGCCCAGTAGGCAGGAGACAGCTATTATTTTACCAATGTGACATATATACATAAACAATGAGAGAATTCAATTATAAGATACGTATAAATAAAATGAATGCAGGAATTAGAAATACCATTACCTGTCGATGGAGATCCGCTCCAAATATCTAAAAACAAAACTATCCTACCAGGAGTAGTACCTACATTGTATATCGTTTGAGTGTTAGGTTTCCGTAATGTTTTGACTAATAAGTTCACAAACTGTCTCAAGTTTTTTTACAAGTTTTTTACTTCCCAGGAATTATTTTTAAATTTTGACTTCTAGGTCAACCACAACCGCCATATAAATCAGTATGAGTCGGTTATTGAGCCGTTACAGATGAATGTCATGAAGAGAATCGTCAACGAGATTAAAATCGTAAATATATTGTACAGAGGTGAGCAATGTACGAAATTGATAAAACAATTGCTAAAACATAAAATTCAAGAATGTATATAAACAACTTACCAAAGGACAAAATCACCATGGATAGGAGAATGCAAATTTGTAGCATGCTCTCCATCGTATGTATCCTAGGCCAATGTCCTGTAGAGTTCCATTAAGCAGTCGATGTTGCAGAACAGTTACGGAGAAAATGATTTTGTGACGTCATTTCCGAGTCAGTGTCAATTGGGAGTGTTTGTCGTTAGTGGCGATGCGATAATAACAATAAAAAACGTATGATAATGGCAATGTTTATCTAACTGGTATGCTGAATGGGCAGCGGTATCATCTTCCTAATGGCATTTGTTTAACAATGGAAGTTGTTTATTTACCTGTGATTCCCTCCCCTTCCCTTCAATTTTCAGGGAGTGATTTATAACTATAGATAAAATTCATACGCAGAAATCAATATTCTGTAAACAACCGTGTTGTAAAATCTTGAGGACGTCGCCTGACATAAATAAACGAATACCACGGCTAGGATGCTTCCATACTGTCTGTCACTATCTCCTTCACGTGCCATGTTTGCCATGATCACACTTTAGATAAAGTTTCTTTTAAAAAATGGGGAACGTAAAAAAATGGGAACGTTAGTTGTATGACCCGAACCCGTTAGTTTTATGACCCGAAAATAATATGTATCACTACTTATTGAAAGTTTTCTTCAAATCAATTAGTAGCATTTTTTTGGCGGGAAAATATTTATACATGTTGTAATTATTACTGTGTACCTGGACTTTTCGTTGTCGCGGTTCCCATTTCATAATAATTTATAGTATAGTATATGGTGTAATCATACATACTTTGCTTATTTGTAATGGTAAACGAGTCAGTGTCAATTAGGAGTGTTTGTGTCTGGAAGCGATGCGATAATAACAATGAAAAACGCATGATAATGGCAATGTTCATCCAACTGGTAAGCTTAATGGGCTGCGGTATCATCTTCCTAATGGCATTTGTTTAACAATGGAAGTTGTTTATTTACCTGGGATTCATTTCCCTTCCCTTTAATTTTCAGGGAGGAATTTATAACTGTTGATAAAATTCATACGCAAACATCAATATTCTGTGCACAATCTTGTTGTAAAATCTTCTTGTCCAACCTTGAAGTCGTCGCGTGACATACATAAATGAATGCCACGGCTAGGATGCTTCGATACTGTCTGTCACTATTTCTTTCACGTGTCATGTTTGCCATGATGACACTTTAAATAAAGTTTCTTTTGAAAAATGGGGAACGTATGACCCGAACATAATATTTTTCACTATTTATTGAAATTTTATCTTCAAATAGATTGATGAAATTATTTTGCGGAAAACATTTATACATGTTGCACTTATTACTGTGTACCTGGACATTTTTGTTGCCGCGGTTCCCATTTCATAATGGTTAAAAGATAGAGTATATGGTGTAATCATACTTACTTTGCTTATTTGTAATGGTAAACGGAGATTTTTAGACACTTTCCCTCTATCTGTAAATGTTTTTCAGAGCACGTTGGACATGAATTGCATTAGACCTAAGTCGACAACAAAAAAGCAATATATATGTCAATATTTACATGAAATGACCTTCTCTAATGTCCACGTTTTATTGATTTTGTTTTAACGCTCTTTAAGCATACAATTGAGAAGAAGACAGGTGCTTTCGGAGAAGTGATAGAAGTTTACAAATAGGTAGGAGAAAACAGATAATTTTGTTTTCTTTTGTTTTGTTGCGTTTTCCAAATACGATGAAAGCATCAACGAAAGAAAACGACGAGTTTGCAAGAGATGCCTCTGGTGGTTACACCAAGGGATATAAACAAGGGGTATTGTGTCACATAGTTATAGAATGTGAGAACTCAAGGAACAATATCATAGCTACCTCACTTTATTTTATAAATAGTCACCGATAAGTCACGAAATTTATATAACTAAATCGTGTTGATACAGAGATGGGTGCTCTATAATATCAAATATATTCTATATAAACATTTGATGGAACAACCGAAAACAATTATATAACACGAGACACCCGCAGTGTGTTGAGCTCACCAGTAATGCCGTGTACTCCTACACCACATACAACGTTTATTTTTATGGCGAAATTTTTTGAAAGTGATACAGTACTCCGTTTATGATATATACTTTTGTGGATCGAGGAAGGAATTGAAAGAAAAAGGCGCGTTCTCTCAGGATGTTTACCTTGTCCAAATCACTAACTATCTCCTTGATTAATGGGCGCAGTCAGCTCGTCATCCGTAGAGTCTCATTTGAAAAGAATTCGCACGAGGTTTGGTGCTCATTTAATTGATGAGATCTTGTTTACCGGCGAAAGTACACATACTTTCCATACACGGATAAAAAGTTTATTTATTCAACATTACCGTTGATTAATCAAATACAATTGACAGTTTCATCATAGCTGAAAGGTCAAACTTCACATTCAGTCATAGCTTGAAAAGGGGGCCAGTCGGTCTTGAAACGCTCCGCTAAGCTTGAAACATGCATTGTTTGTGTATAAAATAAAACGTTGTTACATAGATATGTCAAAACTGATAAATCAAATTGAAAAAAATGTAAAACTGAATTTTATTACAAATAATAAACTCGAGATAATCAACGAATATCAAAACATAATGTTATGGTACATTTTTTTAATATAACGAACATTAGTCACAACAGTTGAACACATTTCACAACGATGCCTGGTTACGCTGCATAACGTGACGACAGAATTGTGCGGTTTTCAGAACGATAACGTTTCTTGAACTGTTTTCCCTAGGCAGTTCAAGAAACGTTATCTTTTCCATACCGAATGATCGGAAATGCATCTGTTACGTGTAGGGACAATGTCTACTTACACTATATACGTTCGAAGAATTGAATTTCTTATCTTCCCGATTTACTTCCCCGAAGTGTATTTTATACGTTTATTTGTGGAAGAATGTTGCCTTTTTGAATACTGAACCTATACCTGTATATTAAATTGTCTACAATATAAGAGAAAGCGCATACATATTCTTATGGTATACAAGTATAAACTTAAAACAATTTATAATATGGAAACAACTGAAGATAATATATTTAATTAAAATAGCATAAAATTAGCATACTTGATAAAAATGGCTTAACGGTTGGCATAACATAGCAATGTTATGAATTATGACGTAATGCTTCAATCTATATTTCTTCTTTTTTTTCTTTTTCTTTTAATATCACATGGTTTTCAGTGGTATGAAATTCTTTCTTGACAAGCTATGCAAACTATCGTTATTCCAACATAGCTGTGTCGTTAAAATGAAAACAAATGAAGTTTATCACATTTAGACACGGTCTCTTTTTACACCTGGTTAGTGTCGTATCTGTTAAGTGGCAAAATGAACACTTTGTTATCTTCATATTAAGTAAACACCATTACAGACATGGCCTCAGTATCATACAGCAGATTGGCGTACTTAATTACACCCACACACATCATTTATATAAAACTGGGGCATCAGATTATATCAAATACCACATAGGTTTTACTTTTTAAACGTTGGTAATTACATTAAACTTTCTTTTTTCTGTGCATTCTTTGTATTATCATCATTTCAGTTCTAAGTATATTGAAATTATATTCCCAAATACAAATGTAGGTCAAATCATATATTCCTATTCTCATCTAAAAAAGTAAGCAATTTGACCCATTTTCTTAATTTACGCATTATCATTCGTTGTCAACACATGAAAATGAAAATATGCATTTTTTCACAATTTCAGAATAAAAATTAGAAAAAAATGTACTGAATTTTAATTTAATTCAATGAAATTTAGACATCCAAATAAAACATACATTCTTTCATAATGTATGCCGTAAACACAGAATAAAAATAATACCGTTTATTTCCGAGTACGGACAGCCCTGAACCTCCAACCTCATTGATCCGTGGGAATACATAGAGACGGATATAATCCGGATGTACTTGGCGACGACCGTTCCTTATAGGACATTGGTTATGACTGTATTGCTGTCGTAGTTCCCAGGAAACACCTTTTAGAAACACAGTAGTATAACTAATAACTTATCAATAGTGTCAGCCCCTGATGACCCTTAATGCTACCACTTCCTCTATGTTATGCAGCTTTGCATTTGGTATTAACCATGTATTGTTTGACGATAGACAATACGCGTGCTGACATTTTCAAACATACCATACAGGAGCAAAGCTGTTCTATAAACATCCCTCTCTAATATTCCATCGTCAAATGAGTGTACCTGTGTATGAAATAAAATATTTGCTAGCGGCTAATTAGCAAATATGTTTTTTATTTAACGTCTAAACCTGCTTAAAACCTGTCAAGCTCAATGTCCGTAAGTCTGCCAATTGTTGATTTCCTGTGCTGACGAGCGAAAGCGAAAGATCGATGGTTTTGATTGCTTTAAATAAACATTTGGTATAAAGAATGTTTTCAGTGATTATTGTTTATCGTCTTCCGATCAAACGGAGACTGAAAATATCACTTTACATCGGCGTCTAATAGAAACAATAGACAAAATAGAACAACTGCCCTTGAGCTCAGAAATAAGGAAAACGCACTGCTTGTCAAACGAAGACATTAACACATTACGTGATAAATGTTTGCGAGCGCAAAATAATATTCTAATTTGAATAAATAGTATATTATTGACACTTACGTAGACACGAACAAAAACATTAGTTTTACTTGGTACAATAGGTATAATCAACAATTTTTTTGTACCACATGGTGGAAAATATAATAATAAGAAGAAGTTTTTCGAACATTTGCTTTCACCATCGTTGTATATGACACCATCAGGAACATTGACAGCAATCGCTTGGTACATTCTTCAATCTTTATTCGCCGTTAGTAATACCCTGCTTTGTGGTAATATCTGCCTTTTCATATATAATATTTACTACTGTCATTGTAAGAATACTATCATTTAAGCGTACGGTAATTTTTCAAATGGTATAGGGCGCTGTATAAATGGTATGTAGTATCATTATTATAATAGTAATAAACATAGCAATTTAATATTGACTTGTTTTTTAAGTAAATTTCATTCAAAAAATAAAAAGCTACTACTTCCACAACATGGAAACATGTCCATGTTGACTTTCATAAAAGTC